ATCTACATAATTTATATTATTAAACATTTTTTTCACATTTCTTATTAGTCATCTTAAGTTTCAAGATTTTCTTTCTCACATACAGGTTAAGAAAAACTAAACAACTCCTATGGACTGTGGTACGATTATACTAAAATAATTTTAGGACTTTTTTTTAAATGAAGCTTATGTTTTATTATTAATTTAATTTTGGTTTAAAAAAGGTTAAATATTTTATAATGTTATTAAGAACAATTTATTTTTAGGTTAAGTCGAATAAGAGGCATTTTAAATATTAATGAACTAGAAAAAAAGATTATACATAGCCCATAGGTAATTAAAAATAACCTTACTTTTAAAAATGAACACGGTTAATATTATAGTACTAGACAAATATCTAATATAAATATATCAACCATGCACAAAAAATTAACACAATCAACATACTTATAAAGGTTTCAGTCCAAAAATGTACTATATGTTACCATTAGAAATTAAACGTAGGTAGTGACTCTTCCAAAGATTTAGCACTCAAATGGTTCAAAAAATGGCGTTTAAATATAAATCCTTTAAAAACGATAGTTGTTATGTTTGGTTGAACCAAACTATCACAAATCCCGAAATTAAAAATCGATGGGACAGCAATTGAATGGTCAAACAAGACTAAATACCTAGGCATCACCATCAGCCGTGGACCAAGAAGACCAAGTATGTGGGACCATATCACAAACGTCGAGCAACGCCCCACGAAAACAAGATATATACTCTTAATCAGTGATCAACAAAAACAGCCAAATATCATTACATACCACCTTAACAATTTTGAAAATGTACTTACGCCTCACTTACGCCGGCGCAGCATGGCACCCTAAGTCACAAAATCTCAGTGGCGATAACTCAAATCGGTCCAAACAATAGCAATACAAACATCTTCAGGCATGCCAACATTTCTTAGAAATTATGTTCTATTGTTCTAGTTAAACAGACAAACACTACTACAATCAAAGAAAATATCAAAAAGCAATCAAAAACAATTTTACACACAAACCAACAATCCGTCTACAAACACATAAAATCATTACCTATAGGTTGTAACAAAATAGATCAACTTCAATCAAAAGCACCTACACCAGTATCATAGTATCATGGGCATATTATGAAGACTAACTTATAATAAATAAAAAACTTAATCAAAAACGTCCTTCTATTAGTAAAGGCCTCAAGTCTAGTATAAAATAATAGGCCCCAGGCCGCCCCAACCAAGCAAAGCAAAAGTAAAGTTCATAAAAAAAAAATAAGTACACTTTGGCTACTATAAGAACAAAATATAGACATACCTATAACGAATTTCTAAGTTTATTGCATTACCTTGTTAAATTAATTAGATGACGATTTTAGTAATATTATTGATACCTAGTTTAAGTTTTATAGTTGTATAGCTTTATATTGTTTTATTTCAATACACGTTAGTATACATAATACTACATTATAATATTAAATAAATATAGAAAAACATATGTATTTATTTAATTGTAACAACTAAAATAATGAATTTGAATTTTAAATTGCAAACTCACGGGCCCCCACACGAATATGTTTGGGCCCACACTATCTTCTTGAAAAATAAATTAAAACAGTTATCAAAATAATATACTATAGCAGTATAGTTGGAAAAATGTCCTTCGTTTCTAAAACAGTTAAATCTAGTAAATAGGTTATAATTTATTATACATGAATATTGCTTACATAAATTGGGCATTATACCACGAAGCCCTATGAAGGCAAAAATTAATTATTTAACATAATATTATTGTTATTTCTAATATAGCACATATTATAATTATTTGAACACTAATATATATATAATTGATTAATATATTTGTATTCAAAGTCCCTTTAAATATCAAACTAAATATTAAAAAACATAGCATGAAGCTAAAAAAAAGTAACTGATGAATAAGTATTTTGAGAATTATCTTATACAATGAAATTATATCGATATAATAATATAATATACTAAATATAGTAGTATACTATATACAATATACATACACGAGTTACAGGAAGTACTGATTAAATAAATAAATTATGTATAATATTTTAATATATACATTGTATGTTCATACCTTACACAACACAGTTCAGATTTTCTGTATAATGCGTAGAACTCATTTTACCACTAAATAGGCCACATCAATGACGGCGCACAATTGTTACACTCCATAATATAGTTTAAATGGGGCTTTATTATTTTATCATTTAAATATAACATTTTGTTATTTATGAAAACAATTCTTATATTGTATGTACTATATAGATGAATGTTATCATATTCAAAGTTGAACAAATAACTAAATAAAAAAAAGGTGCTCTGCTGTACAGTAGGTTACAAGGGGGTCACTGTAAATGGATGATATTAAGTTTGAATTCAATGATATATCATTGTATAAGAAAAACAATTATGAGCGTAGACGGTATGTCAGTCTAGGTATAAGACATATTATATACTTATCTATGGTATTAAAAAAAATTGACCTATAATAAATTCCAAATCAATCATATCACAATATCCATTAGGTACTTATAACCTTTTATACATAAACAAAAAACCCTGATACTATCATATATATATAATAGTGTACTTTAGAAGTTTCAAGTACCAACGAATAATATGATACAATCACAACAAAATAACTAAAATAGTTTCTCTAGGTTTTTTTTATATAATTTCGTCCAAATTTGAACTTAAAATGACTATAAAAATAAAATTTGCCTATGTATTTTTTAGATATTTTGATAACAGGATCAACTACTTAAGTGAAATCTTGTTTTGAATTTTCAATCCTTAGATATAAAAGTTGAACATTTCATAAATATATAACTACAAAATTTAACTACAAAAAAATTGAAAACTGAAAATGTCCGTAAACAGCTCAAAAAGAGTCAACATATTTTCAAAATTGTATGGTGTATAGGAAATTCTAATATAAACATTCAGTGAATTTTCATGTATCTACAGTTATTCGTTCTTGAATTACAACAAAATAAGGAAATCGCTATACGAGCAATCAAGTGAATATCCAATGTTGAAAAAATTTGAATTTCAAACACTCATAAAAATTTAATTTGACTTTCTTATAGACATTTTTTTTTTGATAAAGGTAGTTAATCCTATAAGGAATTATGTATTACATTTTAAAATCTTAGATTTAAAAAGAAAAATTTTTACAAATTCTTAACTCAAAATAATTTGCTAATTTTCGTGATTTTTCCATATTTTGTCAATTTTTTAACTTTAAATGCTTATAAAAAAAAACTGTGACTAAGGATTTTTAATATTTTCCATCTACCTTTGAAACAATATACTAGAATACTACTATTCAATTTTCAAGCCTTTTTAATAATGCAAATATAAACATCCAGTGAAAATTTCATGTATCTACAGTCATTTGTTTTAAAATTACACCAAAAACCAAATTCAATTTTGTGTAAAAATTCCCGTTTTTCCTTAATTTTTCTTATGTTTTTGTTTGGCGCTTTTGAAAATTACTGGGAATTTTAAATTTTGACCTCTCCAACGCACCAACAATATTCAATTTCCAATCGAACAAGATACTGAAGTTGAAAATCGAAGCATTATTTCGACTACTTATCGTGTACACAGACACAAAAATAAATTTAAAAAAAAAAAACACATCATTGTAAAATCAATACATTCATTGTTCCACTCAGAATCTAAAATGAATGGTCCTAGACCCTAGTATCTACTAAATACTTTGTTAACTAATTATTTAAATAAATAATTCAAAACATAGTACTAGTATTATTTTTAGTTCTCATAAACTATATCCAGATCATTTGAAACTTTTCTATCCTATACCTGCCTACTATCGTATCACCAATACCTACCTGGTTACCAGTCACCACCTAACACAACAAGTCACGGGTATTTAATGTAACAAATAACAATACCTAATAATATTATTATTTTCATTCGAATTATTATGGTTTCTTTCATCCATCAGCTGTAGTTTGATGTTCTTATAATATGTTTATTACTCAACATAATAAAACAATGTTCAAGCAGCGTAATATAATGTCGTGGTGTCTTAAACTAGTTTCAAGTACGCGTACAGTACACGGTTAACACGGTTTTCAGTGTCTTAATAATGATAATAATAATATTACATTTTGCGGGGACAAAGTCAAAATATTTTGTCGTCGTACCCGCCCCCGGGATGTGCGCGTACATAATAGGTATTGTAATATCGTAATAATATTATTATTATTATTATCGCACGGGGTTGGACGTAATTTTCAAAACCGTTTCTTTTTGTTACAAGACACGGAGTAATATTATTTATATAGGTGCGCCAACTGTACAGATCGGATCCATCAAGGACTCGACGAGAGCCCAGGGATCGAAAGCCCGCAAGCACACGGCAGTGTTTTTGTTGTAGAACATAATAATAATAATAATAATATTATCATACGTATACACATTACATATTATTATTATTATTATTATATTGTTCATATTGTACACGGGTATACATCGTCGGTTGTACAACGCGTGGAGCACAAAATACACTGTACCTACACGATACTATGTGATAATAATAATAATAATAATAATAATAATATATTATATTTTAAACATGTTGTTCCCCTCCACGCGGTCGGTAAAAGCACGCGGCACGTCCTCTTCTCGGCCAATAATTGGTGCACTCGCCGGCCGCTTTATTCAGTCACATTCAAACGTGTCTTAGAATATAATCTTATTTCTGCCACTCGTGCAGCGCGTGCCCACCTACTGTATGATAAATAAATAAAAAAGGTATTTATTTTTAAAAAAAGTGTTGTCGTTCTATAGGGCCGCACACACGACAATAAATTATTATTGTTGATTTTTACGCGCATACACAACATAAGTATATAAACTACATTACTATAATAGTATAGACGTAGCGTATACTTGCCGATCAAACCAATCGCTCGTAATATTATATCATCGCGTCGACATGACGGTGATACCCACGTTCGTTATCGATAAGATATTTTCAAAGATATTCAGAAGACAGTCGAAGAATTATACCGTAGAACGTGAGTACATAATATAATTATATTGGTTTAGTAAAAAAAAAACACCGTGGATTCAGTATAGGTACACGTGGTTAATATATTATGATTTTTTCTTCTTTACATCCATCGCATAAAAGTTCTCGGGATGAGTTATCGCACTTTTTGTGCGTATCGAAATTTGTACTTTTATCTTGAAATAAATTTATCGTCTTTCGCTCACCAAACTAAGTTGTATACCTACTGAAGATTTTAGATAAGTAAAATATACGACTAAACTTATTTATTTTAACAAAATATCATTAGTGTCCATCATATCTAAATAACACAGTATCGTTATGATTAATTACTGTAATTAGAAGGAAATTAGAAGTTCATTATGGTATTAATTTATCAACATTATATATTATACATTATGTACACCGTGGAGTCGAAGAAAAATAAGGAAGTTAATATATTATAATAATAATAAATAAGTTGCTGAAATATTCACATGCGAATCACAATTTAGAAAACAATTGATTTAAACATTAAGCCAAAAACACTATTAGAAAGTAAAGTTCCTAAACCTGACGTTCTTACTTCGCTCTAGTCCTTTATACCCTAAGGTGCATTGCTCGAGAACGACTTTTGCTAGTTCTTACGGTTAACATAATATGTAATTTTGTGTTAGATAATATGATTACAAGATAAAGTACAAACTCGAACAATTTTCGTTGTAAACAAAATATATTATCCCACATTGTTAAAATACACTTTTGGAGCAATAAAAAAAAAAAAAATAAATAATGATAATAATAATAGTAATCTAAACAAACTTGCGTAATTAACACATGAAATAAGCATGCAACCGCTAACCCACTTGCCTTCTTTCTTGTACTTATTATTACGTTAGCAATGAGATTTCACTTTTCCACAGCATCCAATTGCAATGGACATCGATTAAAAAGGATGGTTAAAATTTATTGTGAAACATTAATGAAGATTTATTTTACCATAACAAAATTATAGGATTATTAACTTATGGATTAAAATACAAATTTAAATGTTAAATGTGATTTTTTCTTCAAAATATTCAGTTAGTTTTTGATACTCGTCCAATATATTATTGTTATAATCTTGTCTGAAATATCTATAGACTAAAACATAATATTCCACGTTTGGTATGTCATTAATAGTTCTTATATTATTATCTTCACGTACATTATTATAATTAAAATTTGGAAATACTTTATATGTATTTGAAATAGTTTTGATACTGCAGGACAGATTCGGTATGATTTCATAATCAGTATTTGTAGGTATGTTATTGGTTTATAAATATTAATTTACGTCTTGTGTGTCTTATAGGTACATTTATGAAAAAGAGGTTTTATATATAAGAAATCGGTACTGCAGATATAGGTACACGAATTAACAGGTTACGAATTAATGGATACTTACGAATTAATGAATACCTACGTGTCTGAGATTATTCTTTAAATTAAAGAGGTTTATAAGTTATCGTATCAAAGCGTTGGTATAAAAATTAAATACAAAATTATTTGTGGATGAATGAAAATATCATTATAAAATAACAAAAAAAAAAATAATGTATTTTTACATTATACATATTATATTAAAAAAAATAAATAGATATAGACGTTGATGAACAAAATAATGTAATTATATGTAATTATATATTATTATATCGTTGAGCAGCATTTTAGATGAGCAGAATTTTTTTCTGTATTCAATAATATTAAAAAATTTTGATTTAATATATTGTACTAGACATACTGAGTGTTGATTATTTTGAACCTATACGTTTTTGAACATATAATATAATATAAACGTGAGTCCAGTATTAATAAGAACGCCTCAAACAGTTAAAAATCAATCCTTAACAACAAACTTTATCGAATTGATCAGTACGTTTTATGCACCTACGTCATATTAAATATAATATAAATATTTAGGCAACAATAAAATATACGAGATACAATGATTGTTATAATATAATAATATATTCTGGGTTTAAGATGTAAAAATGGATGTGATTATGATATTATTATGTGTGAGTTGAATATTATTTATGTTAAATTATATTAGTAGGTACGTAGTTTATAATAGTGATGTATTTTTAATTAAATTAAAATGTTGTGTCTATATTTTGCTGCCTGTGACTATATATACAATACAGAACACGGATGCTCGTCGAAATCGTCGACCATTATAATAATAACACTTAGTTAATAATTGTGAGTTAGACGTTATATAATATTATTATTTGACAATTAAATTCACATTAAATAATTACGGAGAGACAAATACAAGGAAATTAGTAAAAACGAGCAATTCGTTGTTCAAACATTGAAAAATTAAAAAAGGAATTAACTATAGGTAGGTATGAGTATTTACAATAGCTAACTATAGGTATTCATTCCATTTTTAAACAACAGTAATAATAATAATAATAATATTTTTTATAGGTATAGTTGTGTTAAATAATCCGTAACCAGTTTCTTCAAAATATATATGTCGTAAGCAATACGATACGAGGAAAGTGAATTTGTATTACTGTATAATTATTATTGTTCTGCGTGTCATCACGTAGGTAGTGAATTTATTGCATATACGACTGTACATTTCGCGTTCGGAGCAGCTGTAAAGTACACGTTAGGTGCCTCCGATGTAACATATTATAGTACTATTACATATACTAGACACACGTTTATCAGACACGATATTTTCCAAATCTGCAATACACCACGTACCGTATAACTGCCTTCGCGATTTATTGTATATTGCACACCCCCGACCGACGATTTTGTTCCATATTTTTTTTTCTCTTGTCACATTTTCGTCCCTCGAACCCGCTTGTACGTACGTACACACGCGCGACAGTTGTGCCGTAGTCGTGTTCTATATAATAATATTATCTCGTATGTGTATCTGTGTTCATAAGGTGGCCAAAGTCAAAGGACGTGACTAATTCTTTCTTTTTCTCCCTACGCACTGCACGCAGGTATGACGTGCTCACCCGCTATCCGCAGTCGTGTATCTGTCGGCATGGAGTCGTGTTTAAAGTCGGCAGAAAATGTATTAACATTATTCCAAGCGAATTCGTATAATATTATATTATTTAATATAATATGTATTATAATATAATAAATTAATAAATGATAATAATTCACCCAATGGTTTTATACTCTCAACGCGCATTGTGTAATTCGACGATATACACATCGACCGTATAACTGGTTCCCGGCGATATATCATATACAATAATATAATATATATCATAATATATTAATATGCAATGAGTTCATTGTGTTATTTCTTTATTTTAAAATGCATATATATTATATGTATGTACTATGTATGTATAGTTTTTAACGCGGAAATGTAAATGATTTTATAAATGAAACGAGAAATGAAATTAGACTTTGAATAAAAAAATATCTTTGAAGGTAAACAAAATATTGAATTCAATTCAAAAATGTAAATTATTGATGAAATATTCCAAGCATAGCTATTTAATTTACTACCTATACTTTATAATCTGCAAATATACGAACCGATAGTATTACTCTCTACTGTCCAACATTTCTGGAAGTAAACATATAATTTAATTAATTAATGTATTAACGATACTTATGCACTCGAATATGTTGTGATTTGTTAGTAAGCTACTAACAAGTATGAGTAGGTACGTCATAAGGTAGTTTTTATAGGTCTAAACTCAAATTTCACTAAAAATGTTATCGCCTTGACATTATAATTAAAAAATATTCAAAATGTTTGTTGTGATATCACTCATGATGACTATACGTTATGATCTAAACAGAATTTTCATTGAAAAACGGTAGTCATATTTCAAACCAGGTTTTTTTTTACGTGTGATATGGCTTTAAATTACGAATTTTTAATTTTCAAAGAATTGAACATTGAAACGTGTGGTTTATATAGTTATAGTATATGCGGTTTATAATAACGATTGAAGTTTAAAAATATAATAATATAATATACTTATATTGTTTACCAAGTGTAATATACGATATTATAATGATGTACAATTGTCTTATCCTGCGACTCGATCGTATTCTACCGCGATAATTGTGTATTGTTACTCCGACTACGAAGGCGTATTGTTGATTTACATCTAGACAATTTAGTATACCTATGTATAGCTGATTATCGTTAATGAAATGTCTCTCACTCTCTTGGCTTATAGTTTCACGTGGATCAAAACTATCACTTCGCCGGTTTAAAGGGAATAGATTCATATGATTCCTACAAATATAATATATATATAATATATATATCTATTGTAGCTATATTTCTCCAACGAGATGACGTCCTATAGTGATTCCATATTGTAGCAGGTGGGCACCAGTGCTAGATTTGATATTGTAAACCGACACCAATCATAATTAAGTTTTTGGATTACGAAATTATCAGATATCGTGCTAACAATGGGAAATCCAATAGGTATGTTAAGAAATGTTGTCACTGGGTGTAAGGAAACTATTTAAACACAAATTACTTTTCTGAATACCAGTATAATAGGTATACCTATTATAGATATTTTTACCCTTTTGAAAGTACAATATTCAAGAACCTTATCGGATATTTTGCTAACAACTATTTAGTAACGTTACCGGAAATTAACGTACCAGTGTACCACGATTTCTTGTACATTATTAAAGATTTAAAATATATGTTTATGATTTTTCAATTACTATTTATTAAAATTTTTTTAACTGCGTGTGCTATAATCCATGCAATGCTTATAGATTAATTGTCTTCTGTGAAGGTAAGCTGGAATTGCATTTATTTCAGTTTTAATTTAATTTACCTATCATTAAATACCACAGTTTTTGAAGTTGCAGATAATTTAAAATATTTGATAAATAATTCTCAATTAATTCTTTTAAATGTTAAATGGATGAAAATATTTATAACATATTATTTATCATATTACATGGAAATGGGATGTAATATAATATTATACATTTTCGAGAATATTATTTATATTTAAC